TGAATACAGATCTGATAGCCTTAAATGCATTCTCTCTAAATGGCTCAATTTGTTGCCTCTCTCAGCGCGAACGACGTAGCTGTTTAGCGTTCCCGAGAAGCGGCAATTTTCAAGAACCAGATCGAAGTAGGGCACGAAAACGTGGTCGATCGAGCACGATAATACAGACTGCCGTTAAACCGATCGAATTGCCGCAAATTGCCACTGTCGTTGATTCGACAAATACAGTGATCGGGAAGACGCGCGTGAGGTCTCATTTTCGATGGTCACCGGCGCGCAGAGAGAGAGAAAGAGCGAAAGCTTTTTATTAATAACAATTATAGGGAGGATCGAATGAAAGCAACTCGGTCTTTTTGCGAAAAAAGGAAAAGGGGACCCTCCGTTCGTCCGACAGCGAAAGTCCCGGATGTCTACTTGTCTACACGGATATACGTGTGCTGCTTATGTTGCTTTACCAAATTAAGCGCGACGCCCGCGTATAAATTATTCCTATAAAACGCATCAATCATTCCTCCACTTTCTCTTCCATGTATAACGAGCGATTACGCATTTTTATTACGAGAAAAAATATTTGTTGATCGAAAGGGGATCCTTTCCTGTTTGATTTTAAAACTGACACAGACACATTTCAGTGTCGTTTGAAAATTCAAAGTCACGCTAAATCTATATTTTGGAGCATCAATCTATCTTTTTTTGAAATAATTTTGCGCTCAAGTACAAAAAAACAAACTAATCTATAATTGTGCAAATAATTCTACGCTAAATTCCACGCTAAATTATCGTGAATCGAGAGAAGCCTCGTCACGATTCATTCATACGGCCACGGACAATGTTACGTATCGTTCTCTCGTTTCGCAAAGCACACTCGTGGCTCGCAGAATGGTTTCACGTGAACATCAATGCCGGAGGGCGTCGTTTCGCCTTTTGCTTTCGTAAGGCCTTCGATTCGGTAAAAGATCATTATGCTTCACGTGTGCACACCTCCTCATCACAACCAGCTTTCACCCGATAAACGCATACGTCGGTCAGTGCTTTCCATCCGGAGTGCAAGGTCGGCATCGGCCGAAAATCCTTTTACGGCGCCTTCGGCCAGAAAGTTCAATTTTTGATTTACAAAGATAAAGAGAAAGAAAGGATATGAGATATATACTTTTCATTCATGATATTGGATATTAAGTTTTATATGCAAGACAAATACGTGTAATTTTAATGTAAAAAACTTAAAGAGCCTATTCTTATTCTGTTTTTAAATTTTATACATTGAGTTAATCCGTTTTTTAATTTTATGCAAATTGCAATTATGCATAGAACTTTCAATTATATAAATCAATACACACCTAAGATTTTTGTTATTTTTTAGCAAAAGTCAAAATCATTTTTTCACGTCTCGTTTCGTATCGCGTGAGTTGTAATAATTTTCTGTTCGTGTCATGTTTAAAGTATAATTATTTATACTTTTTGTGCACAATATTTGGTTTTGTAACACATTTTACACATGTTACACTTTCTTCCTGATAAATTTTATAATTTTATATAACATGTCTTATAAATAATTTCATAACATGTCAATTTCATAACATAAATGGAAAGTCACGTAAAATCAGCGCGGCATGGAACGTGTTAATGTCTTAAATATTTACTCTCTTTCATGTTCTTACCATTTCATTTTCTAAAAAAAAACGTTACATTAATCATCGCGCTTCTATTATCACGGAACAGTCTAGAGATTATTTTGATGTGTGTCAACACATCGTCACACCCCGTTTTGGCGTTTGTAAACCGATCTTACCTAATGCGTTATGAGGACTATGTAAGCGTAATACTGCCTGTATGAAGGTGAGAGCAATTTAGCAATCGCTGTCTAAAACAGGCGAATAAAATTACCTGGCCGACGCGAGGATCAATGGGCCTTGGACGCGAACTAGGTCAATGCGATAATAAAATAGTAAGACATAGGCAGAAAATAAATCGCCTTACGAACTTGCCAATTCTTCCCGCCGGTAATATAGCGCCGTAATACTTTCTGCTCGGTGCGTTTCGATTAATCTCAATTCAGTGGCCTTTAACACGCTTTCAACGCTTCATTAATCGTACGGTCGAGAAGCGATGAATAAAATTAGATGCCTCGCATTCTATGATTCACATTTTCATAATCTTAAAACATTAAACCTTCATAATCTTTTTAACACAAGGTCCTCACATGTTTCGTAGCTTAAATTTTTTTTCATATTTTTTAATTAAAAATTTCTGTGTATAATCAATCATTTGCAAGTTTGTGCTTGCTTTTTAGGAAATAAGATCGTAAAAGTAATTTTTATATTAAAACTTTAATATTTACATTAAGAAATTGTATATTTTTATGTATTAGTTTTCAAAACTTTTTTTTATTCTTTAAAAATCTTTATAATTCATGCAATTAATATCGGTTATAAAAACCGTGTTACTTAACTCGAAGTTACACCGAGTTCGATACATGAGCGAAGCACTTGTAACGGTTGTCTTAAAAAAAAAAAAAAAACAACAGTCATCTAATCTAAAGATCTCGTAATTTCTCGCGAGTCACTGTGACTACAAATTTGGCAAAACTTTCGCGTGGGTACGTCAACAGCCTCGCGTATATATTTGAACCCATAAAACGCACTTTCTCCCCATCTAAGGACATTTGCTTGAAAAATACTCGCGCCAGTTTTCTTTCCGCGGCCGCTTTACAAGATAAATTTTCTATTTATTAAACGTACAACCGTGCGCGCATAACAGCGCATGATCCACGCTGGCGGCTTCCGGTGAGAGCTCGCCACTTGTCGCAGCTGCTGCTGTAAGCACGCACGTGTACGAACGTGCGTGAATCCTTTATGGGCGTGAAAGTCGTTGATCACGGTCACGATCTATCGATTATTCGGCAATTTTCTGAACGATCGATTTCAATAACACAAAATAATTCTAACAACAAAATACTTACGTAATCGCATATTCATGCAAGATGTGCTAGACATAATATTTTGGAAATAATTTTTAATAAATATAAAACTATTTTTAGCAAAAATAAATTTTAATATATATATCAAATATTTTAGCAACAATATTTTAAATTAAAAACTTATTTCTGTGATTATACGTAGTGAACGCAAAAACTCTGCATTGTGAATTGATCTTTAGTATTTAAAAAAAAATTGATATAAAGATAATCGAATAATGGCTTGCCTTTCAATTTTCGTCACGCATGATAGAACAAACTCCAAAGAAAGAATCGATGGATGGCAAGCAGTCGATCGATCCATTATCAGCGGCTTTTCAAAACCGAGATCGATACGATACACGAATCAAAGTCGACACTTGATAACAATGTATAAAGACGCGATCAATTTGCCATTATCTCGTCTCTTTTGTGGCACGCGTACATTTCACACGTGTATGAATCCGAGAGATTCCTCCTCGCCGATCGTTCGAATCAATCCACGCGATCAACCGGGTCATATAATTGATTTAGATTCGCCGAAATGCTTTTTGACTTTGATTTGCGACGTGCGCTCCTTTACAGCGTTACGATGAACGCTTCCTATTCGAACGGCCCAATAATACTCCCACTCAGCAACTCGTACAAATTGATCTTTATGATCACCGCCGACTCGGTTAGATTCGCAACATTTATTTCGAGTCAACTAAATTTAATCTACGTGATAAAATGGGAAAAATGTGATTGTGAGTCATCACATTCGACAGCTACTCGAATATGTGTAACGTAAAAGAAATAAAAGAACGATTTTAAGTTGCAAAATAAATTCTTCATCATCATCGTCCAAACGTTGTCTTTATATTGCGATAATTTAATGTGATAAATTATGTGATAGTAAAGAACGTTGGTAGCATATGTATGTTTTTTGCATTATACTAAAATTACATATCGCTGTATACTGCTATGTGCTATGCAGCTGTTATAATATACTGTTATTCATGGCTGGACATCGTTACGATAACACTCGAGCGCGAGCTTTCGAAAATAATTCGTTGCGAATTTATCCTCGTCACGAACAACCGTTATAATTATTATTCCGTTTGTTTGTTCATTCTTCTATGAATAGTCGTCAGAATAGTACGAATGCTTTCGTCCAATACATAGCAACGACCATATGTGCAAACGTGTCATAAGAGACAATGCTTGGCTCAAATAGCGACATATCGTAAATTGCTAAACAAGAATATCGATGAGAAAGGATAATATCGTCCTAATGCAGATGGATCCTAATGCAATCTCTATTTAAACATTTGTAATTTAAATTTCTAGCTACTATTATTTCCTTATCGATCTGATTTTAGTAAGATAAGCTATTTGCTATTTATTAAATTTATTTATTGCAAGACAAAGTTTAAATTGTTTGTAAAAATTTGTTCTTCTTTATTATTTTAGTCTTATGATAATTGATTAATATGTAAGTCAAAAACCAAAGAGAACTCACTGAGGAAACTTTTATAAAAGAGAAGAGAGATGTCATACGAGTTATATTTCCACAACTATAAATTCTAGGAAATCTTTAAGTAGTTCTATCTCAAGGGTTTTCTCTCTTTCTCTCTCTTTTTCTCTTTAACATCTACAGCTCTGATCTGCTCTGGCATTTCCGTCCCAAGACCACTTTTAAATCCCGTCGTCTTTGAGAAATTCTCGGAAGATGCAGCGGAAAAGATTTAAAGAGAAGAACGCAGACGAAAAGAAAAATGAGTTTATCGAGGAAAAAGAAATATAAAAGTAGCAAAATCAAAATTATTCTTAAAATTCGTCAATAACCTTCAATAAGAATTATGTAAAATACGAAAGTTAATTCTCAATATTCAATTATTGATTATCATATCCGCTAATAGTGAAATTCGATCAAATTCTAATGAGATTAATGGAAACTCTCTGAAATGTATTGAATCCTCGTTGCATCTCCGTCGCATATCCGCGCGTTTGCGCAACACTTCGGGTTCATAACAAGAGTAATTCGAGCAGTTTGACGTGTACTCACGCTTTTGCTGTGGCTCGTACTGTGATGTGTGTGATGCGTGTCGAGTTTCATATTGGCGCAGCGGTTAAGGGCGTGTAGGCGCCGGAAGAGACTCTGCAGCGAGTCGGCCTCGAGGAAGGGGTGATCCTTGGCTACGCCGGAAACGTCTATCGGAAACTGGTAGTCTGAAACACGAATGTAAAGAGAAATTGTCAATTTTTATTTGCCACCGACATATATTCGATTGTCGTTTCGGATAAGATGTCGCGCTTACGCGTGTATTTATTTAAACGAGAAATGCATGGCAGCGATATTCGATAATGTGCAAAACATCCGCCGTGTTAATCACGTTTGTTGTGATTCAGGGTCGCTCGATTATCGAATGCTCCAAACGAGTAGGCACAACTAAAGCATTTTAATTTGAAACTGCTTTTAATCTTGGAATAATTTTAAATAGAACCTAGCTCTCAAAAAAGAAGTATTTTCCATTCATAAATATTCACCATATAAATAACATTTTCTTACGAGATATCTTTAAATATCTTGTTCAATTATTTATACAAATAATTATTCCAAATAAATTTATAATTATCGTTATCAGCGTTTTATAGATTTTTAGTTCGAAATATAAGGTTTCTGATGTTCAAACATAAATTATGTAAAATATAAGGTCTTAATTTTAACGCTACAATTAAAATAAGTATTTAAAAATTAATAGTCGTTACTTAAAAAATCAATATTTGTTAATTAATAAAAATTTAAATATATTTTTGAATATACATAAAGCAATCTCTCAACTACGTTTGTAACACACACTTATAAAGTTTAATTTTAATTTGATAAAATATTAAAAAAGCCTTTATCTTTATATTACAGATAGATATTGTATGTTTAATATTTTTTAATATTACTAATATTGAATAACATTTAAAATATTTTGTACTGAGTGTAGATAAATATAACGACAATACGTTTACGAAAACGTGTTTACGAAGCATAGAGGATATATACATATGTATATAACAGATGTCACCGTACAATGATATTCTTAAACTCAGAGGCCAGTATGTGTTTAGCACACGATCTGTTAAGATGTATTGAACATAAAGATATTCATGACGTACGTATATAAAAATTTGAGATATATTATATAAAAGGGCTTTAATGAAATATTTTTAAGTATTTAACACACATGTTAAGTATTTAATTAAACATGTTTCTTATATTGAAAGTGATATTAATAATTTTATTAAATAAAACGTACGCGTACATCACGAAAGATAGCGAAATAATATTGCTGCCGGCACGGAACCTGACAAGCGCAAAGAAAGTACGTGCGTTTTTACTGTACTTTTATTCATTGCTCAACATTTAAAACATTATTCTAGAATTATCAAGTCTTTTATTAATTGTCTTTCGATTTGCAGATACCGTTAACTTTGAACGTCTTTGGAAAACAGATTCAGTTAAACCTGCGTAGAAACGACCAGATTGCGCCTGCGTCTAAAGTATGGAAACATAACGTAAAAAAGTATGGAAATATAACGGAAAAGCTGTCGCAATTAAACGCACCAGGCTCCTGTTATTATTTTCACGAAGATCATATCAGCATCGCGGTCATAAACTTCTGTCAGAAACATGGATTGGTTAGTATTGGTATTGTTTAAAGAACAAATTAATTTGAATATTTTTACTCTTAATTATTTTTGCGGTTTTATACGTAAAATTAAGATTAAAAAAACGAATGTATCTTTGTTGGAAATAGGAAGGGGTTGTTTTTCTGGAAAACACTACATTGGATATTTCACCGTTGCAAAATAACTTAGCGTCGTCATCTTTAATTGGCGATTCTTGTGTTGAAACAGAAACTAATGTTTCATTTGGCAAACCTCACTTAATTAAACAACATGTCTTCCGGAAACATCTTTCTGATTCGGACCTATTTCATGTAAACAATCGCAAACCGAGGCAACGTCGCTCACAAGACACGCCGATACCAAATTTAAACTTAGAATTGGCCATCTTCTTGGATAAAGCCGCATTTAATAATTTGTTGCTTGCTGAAGACAGAGATCCTGCGAGGATGCGTGATATATTGGTAGCGTACGTGAAAGGTCTTGAAGCTGTGTTCCAACATCCGAGTCTCGGTGTCTCTTTCAATATATTGTTGAAATACATGGAAATTATGAAACATCAGCCAATAGATATGCCACATCATGAAGGTTATGTTTATGATCTGCTAAGTTCGTTTTGCAAATACGCGTATAAGTTGCAAGATGGTACAAAGTATCATTGGGACGTCGCCCTTTACCTAACCGGATTCGATCTTACTGGTGAAATAAACTTGACATACCAGGGAAGGACCCAGTTCACCAGTGCGGGTTCCAGAACCTCTTTAATAAGAGGATGGCCCAGGGCCAAGAATGGCGTATGCATTGATGGAAAGTCTTGTGCAGTAGTAGAATTTGGTGTTCGAAGCCAAAATAAAAATATACCAACTTCGGGTTTTTCATCGATTTATGCTGCCGCCGAGGAGATTGGCCGCCTGTAAGTTGTTAGTCATATAATATTTATAAGTATATATACGTACACACAATTAACTAATAAGTGTGTGCGCGTCTTTGTATACACACATAAATGTTACATATAAATTTAAGTTTTTTATATAAAAAAAACTCAGGAAGTAGAAACTAATTTAATTTTTAATTCTTGAAATTTTCGTTATTTTTTGACTCTTTAGATTATTAAATGTTAATAAGTATTAATATATGTAAGTTTATTCTATTTTAATGTGATACAAAGTTAAGTATGTCCTCAGAATCGATAATTTTTGTTGTTTGAAAGCTTGGGGATGGTGAATGATGGAATAATGGGCAACGAATGTGAGAGGGAGGGATACATCATGTCATTTAAATGGGACAGTGAACAGTTTGCTAAGACGAATTGGTCCGAGTGTAGTCGTGAAGTAGTTACAAACCTAGCGCTACAGCAAACGAAGCAATGCCTTCTAGATGGACAACCGGAAAACATCACGTATCAGTATCGTTACATCGAATCATCAGAACACATAACGTCAACCACTTACGAAATCGACAATTACGATGACATAAAAAAAAAATGGTCCGCCAAAAAACAATGCGAATTATTTTTGCATGACAAAAGGGCGAACCTTGTCATATCGGATAATTTGTGCCGGTTCTTACAATGCGAGGCGCCGGACCAAGGCATCACAAATATATATGATTATTTAAATCATAAATATATCTTTTATCATAGTAATTTCTTCGCGGGACCGGCGTTAGAAGGTACTTTCTTTTTATTGCTGATTAGATACATTAATGTTTAAACCAATCTGTTTTTTTTGTTTTTTTTGTTTTTTAGGAACTCATTGCGCACCTCATAGAGAGTGTCGCTACGGAACGTGCTCGCTTGTCGAACCGTCGAAATACCTGTACTATTCGGAAGATGGTAGCTGGAGTGAATGGAATGTAGAGCCCTGTGCAAAGAATTGCTTGGAGAAATCCAAAGGCACAATAGTCGCACGTCGCACTTGCTCAAATAAAAATAACAAACCGGCGTATTGCGCAGGATCATCTTATGACGTGAAATTGTGTGACGCCTCGAGTCTTTGCAGTGAGAAGCCTCGCTTGCCGATCGAAAAGTATATAGACATTAGTTGTGAAAAAGCCCGTTTTCTAGCTAAGAAAGGAATACAGGCGCCTTACGATTACAATCGTCCGTGGTTGGCTTGCACTATATTCTGTCGAGGTACACGAAAAGAGGACGGAGACGACGACGTCATTACTTATTATTCTTTAGCCGACAAATTGACCAATAGCGTTGAACGTAATTTGCCGTACTTGCCGGAAGGAACGGCGTGTCATACTGACAATGAAACTGGCCTGCAATTTTATTGTCGTAAGCATCAATGTTTGCTGGAAACAAGTAGGACGGTGAATTGTCGAAAATCAATCTACTAATCCAGAAGGAAATTATCGAAAAATTATTACCACGTAAACAAGAATGCGGAGAAATTAGGATACGCAAAACGCGCGTAATCAATCCAAAAACCGTCCGCCGATTTGTCGACTACCTGACGTCTGCCCCAGAAGACGAATTACTTTCGCTAACTTCTGTTTTGCACAGCGCCGATTCCATATTCGACGTAGACAAATGGATCAAAGATTACGTTGTGAAAACGGCATTCAAATTTTATTAATTAGTATTAATAACAGCAGAAGAAAAACGATAAAACAATTATTAGTTATTAATTGACATGCCTATAGAAAGGGAAAATAGATTGTTAACAAAGTAGATGCACTCTTATTCTGTATGAAAAAAATGTCGCGAGAGATAAGACGAGAGCGATGACGTCTCTCACTTGTCTATTTTAAAAATGTCCCGATATTATAATTGTGTAGTTATATAAGAGCGGGATGGAGAATCGAGAGCAATGAAGAAACACTTATTATATATATTTTTACGTTGACGGATCTCACTGTGACATCCGATTGAATTTTACATCTAAAACATTTTATGATTGATCTGTTTACTTCTTCGTAATTTTTATACCACATAAAGCAATACTTTTGTGATGTAATAAAAATACTGCTTTATTTCCCAATATTTTTTTTATTGCATTCGCCAGAAACTAAAGAAGACTGCATTAATTAAAAAAGTAGATATGTAAAAACCATCGAACTCTCTGTGATCATGAATATCTTTTACTGTGCATAAAACCCTGCGTTAAATATAGTTATTATATGGCTTCGTAAGATAAATACCATTAGTCATGTTATTAATATGAACAGACATTCAAGCCGTACGATCTTTTATCATTTTCATCTGCAGTAAAAATTGTGAAAGTTATACCAGATCATAGAAGCAAATGATTCCTTTTGCGTATTACAAAACTATAACAATAATAATCTTTCGCGAATAAAATATTTTACAATATTTTTCTCATTTTGTACGATAGAAGCGAAAAAAGATTTGTTTTCAGCGAAGCTTGTTTTTGACGATAGATTTTTATTTCTCTATTTAGATTTTTTTTATAAATATATCGCGATAATTCGTTCGTAAAAGTTCGGAAGGTTTCTGTCACGACTTGCGCAATGCTGGCCTAGATCTCCTGAACCAGATCTCGGATCTACGATCTCTAAACGGGATCTTGGGATCAATTCTTCACCTATCGAAGTGGAACGATATAATTGCAGCGAATATTTTCTCATCGTGGATTTTTTTTAATTTGACAAAAATATACTTTTATCAAAGAGAGTAAAAAATGTTGTTATTTCGTCTAACTAGTTATATTTACTCGAGAGACGCTCAACAGAGATCGTTATTACAATGCGGAGATTGAAATTTCACGCAACAACCTCAGTAATTAAAACAAATTCCATCGATGAACTATGAACACGCATATGTAAGTCACATTTATTTTCACTTATTGAAGTATAGAGGTAATTAATGACTTGGAGCAACCTCCGATGTTACTTGATAGCGGATAATTGACAAATTGATTGATATACATAGTTATCTATATTACGTATTACACTCTGTTTTTTAAATGAATAAACACTCATAAATGTACTCATCAATCGTTAACATTTTTTTTACTGTTGAGAAATTAGGAAGTTTCTGCAATACCGTATTTTAAATATGGAAAATACTAAAATACCGTATTCTATGTGAAGCAATTGTAAATCTCTTCGTAGCAATTTTCATATTACATTTATTTTTGTTGTTCACTGTGTGTTCACATGTTCTACACACGTATTTATCATATACAAAACATGTTATTGCAAAATCTTTGATATTAGAAAATTTACTAAATATTTTAAATCTGCATGAAAGTGCGAAATATATATTACAAAACTGCGATACTGTGTTGAATATTTTTCCCAACGAAATATGTCAGCCAGCGAGATTATTAGATGAAGCTTGTGTCAACGTTATTCGATGAAGAATCATTCGATTCATCCCGCGCTCCGCACGCCTATATAGTGCGTCTATTGCTAGCTATGCTTGCATCTCGTATCGATCCTCGATAAATCAAATTCTTTCTCGCAATGAGATAATGCACTAATGACTTTACGACGCTATCGATAGATTAACGTTAATTATCAGTTATTTATGTGTTCGTTTGTTGGATATGCTAATTATAAATTAGTCATATCTCATTAGGGAATTTCTTGATTACGTATAAAATGCTCTGTCTGACAAATCGATTAGCACACAACATTCGATTTCATCACATACCATGATATCATCAATAAATACCAATCTGCTTGTTTGACGTTACAAAAACATGTTACTATTGACATTATTACATCTTGCTTGCTTGTTTGTACGCGTAACGTTACATTTTGTTTACTTTTTAGTTTCCCTCTTTTTCCTATTGCAGATGTGCCTTTTCTATCCACTCCTTTGTCTTACCGGGATTGAAATAAATTGGTATTAGCAGTGGGATTTAACTCGCAATCCGTTGTGCGTCGTTCGCGAAACACAAATATCCACTTGCGGATGACTTGATAAATTAATCCAACGGCGCATCTCGGACTAAGAATGGCGGTGTGATCGATCAGATTACGTCTTTAATTTATCACGTCGATCGTCAAGACACAACATCCACATTCGGTCGCGTCGCTGGAATTCCACGAAGGATGCGATCGGTCGGAATTCTCCGTGGCCGAGACGACCCGCGGTAATATTCTTGCGATCGTATATGTGTGCGGACGACGCAAGTCGCGTGATTCTCGTACGATTCGATGGACGGTATCGGTATCGATATTTATATCGTGCCTTGTGCCGACCGACTCGGGTTCAACTGGGTCAATTAGCTACTATTCATAGTGCGCTTCGATCGCGAGAGCTCGTCTGAGTTATGATCAATCGTGCACTTTGTATGTGATAACCACGGATACACAAGTATACATACGTACATACGTGCTTGTGTACACTCTCGCGTAAACGTTAGTTCACTCGCTCACGCGTGTGTATAAACTCATGCGTGCATCAATCGATGTATTAAAGCTGTTAGTTTAACTTACAGTTTCGAATCTCTGTTAAGATACATAAAAGAACAATTATCTTTAACAGATAGCAAGCATTTGTGAACTTAGAATAATTTAATAAGACTGATAATCTAATAAGATCTTGTCGAAAGTATAGTAATTAAATTTCAATGACTAATCATACATCAGCTAATTTAATTTAAGAAATTAAAAAAAAATATGATATTAAGCTTCTTTTTAACGCGATGACTCATCGATTGACTCATCCATTTCGCGAGAATTATATTTACAAAGTACATGTTTTATTATGATAAAAACAAATAGAATAAAAAATAGTCGCGTAATCGCGTTGCCACGACAAAGGGGATGCATAAACGTTATTAACGGTTTAGGGTAAACTATGTCGTTTCCCAAGCCGCACTATTCCTTCTTCCCGCATATGGCATCTGGGTCGCCGTAGTGCATAGCGGCTGCATTGCTCGGAACATGTTTGTAGGCTACGGCAGTGGACTGAGCTCGCTCACGAATTAAATTAAACTTTTATGAGACCGCCGTGCTTGTCTCCCACACGCTCGCAAAAAGTGAAAGTCTGCACCGTCTCAAAAATCCCTCTCACGCCTAGTATCCTAATTGCTCGCGCCAACATTATGTAATTATCGATAGCACTGTCGTACCGTTGTTAGTATTAGATAATTGGAGAGCGAACGTGTCGAGATAACGCGATAAACACCGAGCGGTCGATCGTCCTTAACCCTTAATCACGCCAACATGATCACGCAATATGTTCCTTTTTTCCTCATATAATTTTTTTTATTCGAAAAGTTTGACGTCGAAATTTCAAGTTGTTGCATTGAAATATTTCAATAAAGTGTTATCTTATAATATCAATATAAGAAATATTTTGATCAAAAATTATAATTCAGCGCCACAGCCAATTAAATTACGATAGAAACCGTCGCTGAAAATTTTGCCAGATGTTTTCGAACACACGCGAGGCATCAGCTGTTTGCACTGCAATCTCCTTCGGGGGTGTAAATGCGACTTTGCGGTTTGCAGTCCGTCGTTGGCTCCGGTCAGTTCCGTGCCATTGCTCTTCCCGCTTTTGGCATGTGGGTCGCCGCATCGCGCGTTTCTATGTCTCCTGTCCAGCTGCATTGCACCGCGACATGTTTATGGGAGCTTCGACCCGAACAACGGTCAGTTCTACTGACTCACCGTGCGAAGTCTAACGTCGTTCGGGAATCGCGTTCTAACGAGTACAATACGCCGTGGCCAATAAATCAAACGGGACGCTCGCGAGCGTCGCTGGAATTAATTTATCACGACGATTAAATCGTGCGAGAGCTAGCTTTGAGAATTAAGGCTGCTTTTCGACCGCCTTTAGCGAAGAAACTCCGCTGCTGGTGTCAGAAGAGCGTGATTCTCGAACGAGCGGTATAAACTTTTCTGACAGCATCCTGTTTTTTTCGTTTTCAAACGCCTAATTAAAGGCCTCATAAATTATTGATGAGTTGCGACGTTGGAGATTTTATAAGAGAGATCGGTAAAGGCATTTGGCGAGCTAATGGCTATCTAGTTGATATGTCGATGTGTATCGTAAAGTTATTATTAGCGGTAACAAAAGAATTGTTAACTTTGAATTACAAGATACAGAAAATTTAAATCACGCTGCATCTCTATCAAAGCGTGAATAAATTGTGAATAAATGCACAGATCATATAAAAGATTGCACTTTATGGACTGTTATGCGTAAAGTGATTGAAATATTTTATTAATAAAATAAATGTATCATTATTAATATTAAATAATTCTGACAGTCGCATTGTTACTTAAATATTCAGACTAATTATTCAATTTTCAATATCTTAAGAAATTAACGTTAAAAATGTTTTTCGATAAAATCGTTAATAACAAAATATGTAAATCAATAATCAATTTATTTAAACTCTAAAAATAACTGCAGTTTTTAATTATAAATCGCGTGTGAAAGTAAAAAAAAAAAAAAAAAAAAAGAATGAGTTAGATAAAAATAATCTGAGGTAGCCGCACCGTCTTATCTGTGCAAACTCAGAAATTCTTGGTGTCGTGCGTCAGCGGCGGAAGAATGCAACCCTTGACACTGCATCGAACTCATTTGCTCGACATTTGCCCTGACGAGGGATGCGACGGCGCCAACGAGACGTGACGATGACTTACAAGCAGTCTGGTCACTATTACAAAATAGCCGGATGATAAATCCGCCGCGATAAACAATCAGACGTGGAATATGCCGGCAACGAGCGCAAAAACAAATACAAAAGTGCAATTGCATCATCGCGGCTGAGTACCGAAAATTATTGCGTCCTGATGCGAGCGTGATTCGATTGAAATGCGATTTGTTTACGACTAATCGCTGTTCGGTTAAATGATACCAGTCATACTTCGAATTTGCGAAATTTGATTTCTCCGCCAACGAAGCACTTCCGACACGTAAATATGTTTGTCCACATAATGCAGTGCACGCACTAAACTGCGTATAAATTGCGTTCTGTATTTTTCGCAAAAATGCGACTGCGATAAAGCGAACGCTTTTAGCCAAGTTGTAGTTGAAATTGATAGAGTAATCA